ACGGGTGATTCAGTTCAATTCAGACACTCAAGAATTGGCTACACAGGTATGGAATCTACTCCAGGCAAATGGTTGTTTGTGTGCCCTTACAGCCAGAACATTTAAGGAGATGTTGACAATAAAGAACTTTCCATGCATCTTGGACTCGGACCATGAAGCAATGACGTTTTCTTCTTTTCACTGATGAGTCATAGACTGCAGTCTGCAGAGCAAATGCAGAAATATAATGAGACGATTGCCACATAAAACATGATTCAATGACAGTACAGCACATATTCTACATAAAAGCCTGCAAGTTGAATACATACTGTATATCAATATGAAGTATAATACATACATCAATCTTTTGTACAGGTGAGGTGCAGATTTATTATCATTGTATGGAGATCATGTGACCATTCATAATACTGTGATCTCTAAAAGACATTGTCACACGAATTTTTGTAATTTGTAAAATTGTACTTGAAGAACCTGTCAATATTGAATCTATAAGAGCTCTAACATGCAGGGGAAGCATGATTATCATTCTTCATATCTTTTGTGATGGAAAATAATGCTCACCATGACCTATGCTGGCTACTGTCTTTCTTGGAGCTGCAGAAAGCAGCAGGAGGAAAAGTCGTGTGATGTCACCCGGTTTTCAACAGATTGGTCTGGGGTGGTACCGGGAAACGTGAGGCACTCAGCGACACCCCTGAACCATTTTACTCCTGCACCTGTTCCGGCTGAGAGGGGCATGGTTGAAAATCGCACGTCTTTGTCATTACAATGGGAATTTGCCTGGATGCTGTCAGGAATGTGCTGTAATTTTGCATGGCCACACCACACTGACTTATTAACTGATGTTCAGGAGGGATAACAACAACAAGTCAATCTCGCCCAGGTGATTCCAATAGTGATCATTAATAATAATTAATAATTGCTTACACTTATATAGCGCTTTTCTGGACACTCCACTCAAAGTGTTTTACAGGTAATGGGGGATCCCCAGCACCACCACCACCACCAATGTGCAGTCCCACCCGGATGATGCCACAGCAGCCATAGTGCGCCAGAACGCTCATCACACACCAGCTATCAGTAGGGAGGAGAGCAGAGTAATGAAGCCAATTCATAGAGGGGGACTATAAGGAGGCCATGATTAGTAAGGACCAATGGGAAATTTGGCAAGGACGCCGGGGTTACACCCCTAATCTTTTCGAGAAACACCCTGGGATTTTTAATGACCACAGAGAGTCAGTTTTTCGGTTTTACATCTCATCTGAATGACAGCACCTGTTTACAGTATAGTGTCCCCGTCACTATACTGGGGCATTAGGACCCACATGGACCGCAGGGTGAGCGCCCCTGCTGGCCCCACTAACACCTCTTCCAGCAGCAACCTTAGTTTTTCCCAGGAGGTCTCCCATCCAGGTACTGGTCAGGGTCACACCTGCCTAGCTTCAGTGGGCTGCCAGTTGTGAGTTGCAGGGTGATATGGATGCTGGCCATATCATTTCACTTCATTACTGAAATGAGCTACAGTATACCGTACACCAAACACAAACACCTCTTTTTAAATTTGCCTCATGTATCCCTCTTACCCCAAATTGCCACCTTGCTGCTACTCCTTGGTTAACTCCTCTCTCTGAAAGGGATCATGTCTCCTCGCCCTGTAGCCAGGTGGCTACCCTCCTATCCAGGCAGTTTGAGCCAAGTCTGCCGTACCTAAAATTCTCTGATAGTCACAAAGCTTCTGATTCTTGGATAATGTCGTCCCTCGGGGTGGTCCTTACTTTTTAGTTTTTTACAACACATTTTCAATTTTTCTTGCGTGATATTTTTTATTTTGAGTGTGTTACCAGCCACATTTCAGATCCGGTTGAGTACTGGACTTCAGTGGTGAACGAAGTGGGTCAAGCACTTTGGGATGAGAGGTGCTACACAAATGTGACGGAATTATAATTATTTTTTTGCGAAAGTGTAAAAATAGTAAATATAAACCAATGATTCAGTCCCTAAAATGCTGATCATAGGAAAAAAACTAACCTTTTTCTACAACAAGGTAAAGTCGATAGAAAAAAGTTTCATTTTAGAGACCTATTGTCACTTCTGAAATAGTAAAGGTATCTGGATGAAAGAAAGCCAAAGGCAACAGATGTAGGGCACGTAAGTGAATACTATTTTTACAAACTGAAAGGTGAGAAAATCTTGCACTTCCAATAAAAGATAAAAAGTAGAATAAGAATGTGTTCAAGCCAAGCTGATGAATTTGAATGTCCACTCCTCTCTTCTGGTCTTATTTGGTTGTCCATCCTGTTGTGAGCAGTGTATGGAGCAGACGTATACAGTTTGCCCTTTTCTGGGTCAAATCCTCATCTGTTTGACCCCGATATTTTCAATGCGGACTTAGATGGGCTGTTTGCTGGCTACTATGGTTCCTTGGTTTAGGGGTGAAATATTACCAGAGAAGTTTGTCGTGTTAAACTGCCACAGTAAAAATGCCAGTGTATCTGGCAAGCTGAAACACAATCTGCTGACATCAACAAGAGTGGTCAAATAACAGACCTTCCTGTCCATTCTTTGGTATAACCAGTGATGTAATTATGGAAGTAGCTATGAATTACTTGAGCAATCAACAAGCTGACTGGGCCAAATGTAAAATGTGGAATGGAGTGAGATCTCTGGTGTTTGATGTTGCCTGGCCTTCAGTATCCACGTACTGGGCTGAGCAGGAGAAGTGACGTTTGGGGTCCTTCATCAGATTTTCCATGCAGGGCTTCATGCACTTGTGGGTTTTTCCACACTGCAGCAGTCTATAAGTTGGGCTTTGCAGTGAAAAACGAAACAGAGGAAATTAAAGCCACCGAGTTTGCAGTTAACACTTCCCTCGAAAATGAGACCCATCATGAAGCTTTTCTGAATCCCAGGATGATTACTTGAGGATTTCAGCATTACGGTTTGGTTTTATTTTGGGTAATTTAACAAAGGACATTTTGAAATAATGATCATAAACAACAGATACAAAATGAAAAAAACCCTGGAGGATTTCAACATTTCACAGTTTGATGTGGGCCTAAAGATAATTGTGTCTTTGTTGTAAGATAACAAGTGGGATTTTCGATTTCTCCAACAAGTCACTGTTGTTTTGACAACCATAAGTGACATCCTTTACATAAACATACCCTGACAGGGTACAGATGCTGGGTTTCATGTCAGATTAATCTATTGTAACTAATACAACTCAGAAATTTTACAGATGTGTTTTAAAAGCCAACACGAGCATAAAGACGCTTCATGTCTATGTTATATTATTGGCCTTGGAAGAAGCAGAAATTAGGTTTTGTAGGTGAGAACAATTATTTTACCATAGTGGGGAAAAAAACTGAAGTGTTAAATGTGATACAACTGTTGTTGCTCACTTACAAACAAACAAGTCAATTGGTACAAAATGACAAGGCGTTTTAAATTTCTCCAAAGCCTGAACAGAACACAATTATAATAAAAGTAATTTTGAAACTGCTAAAGTTAAAAAAATGATAGATGCACTCGAGTCTCATAACTGCTGAATTCTTCTGTTATGGAAAATTTGTGAAGAACCTGACTTTTCCTACAATATTAGAGATTCCGCCCCAGGATAGACATGTAAGGTGACTAAGGGTCTGCACAATAGTATTCATTCTAGAGCACTTTATAAATATACTAACAACAGGGAGCAGGGTGTTGTCCCTGAAGTTAAGTGATATGCCATCGCAAAAAAATTATTTGAGATAACATCTTTTTTTACTGTACAGACATCACATTAAAAAGCAAAATTTATATTGTGTAATCGAGTTTTACAGCAGGAAATATCCAGAAGGGGGGAGATCTCAGTAAAATGTAAAGCATCTTGGTGCAGTTTATATACTGAATATATATTTAGTTTGATCATTTATTTTAAAAAATAACTTGGTATGAAGAGTTATTTTAAAGCTTAATGTCAGTTTATTTTTAACTTCATTTGGTCTGTTAAACATTTCACGCGGTGACATTTTTCTTTTCCTTCCAATATACTCCCACAAAACATTTAAATAACTGTGTACAGTGCTACTAAAACAAAAAAAAAATGTATTTTTGAATTGGCTAACCCACATACCAGGTTACTGGGTGTAACCATCCATCCAGCTGTATGTACAGATTAATATAATAAGTATTTTGCGTGCTTCTCAGGACCGTTTTATTTTTTTTTGTCCAAATTAACGTTTCACTAATTGTATGCTGTAACTTTAACTAAATAAACCAATTTCGCACATCTTTGCCGTTAACTGTAACAGCTTATTCTATTTGCTGTTTCTGCAGTTGGTAAACCGTCTCAACCTGCAAAAGAAGACAAAAAAAAAAAGGAACTTAACAGTGGAGTTGAAACGAGCCCACTGCCACGTTCACAGGCGTCTACGAGGAAGTCCAGATGAGATACGGAGAAATTAGCGCTACACTGCAATGATAGCTTGTGCAACTCAACAGATGTGACGAGTAAATTAGAACAAATAAGCCATCATAAGCATTCGGGAAAACATTCATGAATGCCCCGATCCAATTATAGAGACAGGAGCGTGCGAGTACACATTAACACCTGGGGCTGTCTCGTACTCCACGACCAGGTACAGCCAGCACTTTCACACAGTTCGCTTCTCACTTATTTAAACCTAAAGTCCATGCGAAATCATGAGCATACCGCAAACTGCATTTTTAAACAGAGGGTTTTCAACGCCGAAAAGGGAAAGGGAATTTGGAGTGACATCCCAGTAATTGGTCTTGACATTTAAGAGGCGCAGCATTTCATGGGCACTGTATTAACACATGAGGGCTATCCACTCCGGACATCGCATTGAGTGTATTTTAAGAGAGGGACGTACAAGAGCATCTAAGGACGATGAAGAGCGGAAAATAAAGTGGGTCCTCGGTTCTTTCAAATACTGACATATGTGGCCAGTTTATTTCTACGTGCCACCCGCGGTCGCGTTTCTCTTTCTCCTTTTAGGTTAGCTACTGAGACCTGCACATACATGACAAAGTCTCAAGAGATGTTGCCCTCCCGTACGGGAGGGGAGACTCGCAGAGATTCCTGTATTGGTATAGCGCTTCCGAGGTAATCTGCGAACTGTGTAACAGAAAAGGACAAGGAAAACCTCCTCCCCCCCCTCTCGTTTCACATCTTTAGAGCCTTGTTTACTGTGTCCTGTTACCTATCGCCTTTGACTCGTGTTGCACCACGCACTCTGCTATATAATAGAAAAAAAAATCTTCTTTTGGACTCACAAACACCCAAGTTCCAGGAAGGAAATATACAGTAGGTTGTCCTAAAAAGGGTCTCTGACAAGAACTAAATAAGTCCGGGACTCTTTGGATGCTAGGGTTACTGGTCTCCAGAGAAAGGTTTTTATTTTTATTGTCCTTCTCCTCCCCCATTGTTTCCAGTCTCTTTGCCTTTTGTTATTTGCTCTCATATTGTTTGTCTCTGAAGCCGCCTGATGACCAGCAAAGGGATTTCACCTCGTCCTTGAGAGCAACAGAAATAAACAGAAAAAAAAAAACACCCGATCATTTTCCCCCTCTCGTTTCGTATTGGTTCTTGTCCTATGCACCACGTAGAAGAAGCCATCAAGAAGATTCGGTAAGTGTCTCGAAACATTTTAACTTAATATGCACTAACATTTTCAGAGGAAAAAAATAAACATACAGAGGCGATAGCATGTATTATTTCTCGCACCGCCACTGCACTGCAAATATGAACGGGTACTCGCTCCGCACACTATCCGCTATAGTCTGCCTTTGCAAACGGAGCTCCGTGATTCTGAACTCGCAGTGCCCATCTGGGGTTTTAAGAAGCACCCTGCCAATAAATCAGTAACTTCAAAAGCAGGGCTGTGTGATCTGGCGAAAGGAGAAGATCAATTTCAAAGGCAAGAATTCGTTAAACAGGGATAGGGAGTTCGCTCAATGTGAACAAGAAAGTTGCCTACTCTCAAATAATATTGCACGGGCTTTTCCCCCCCCACACACAAAACTAGCATATGGCATTCTTAATTAGAAGGGTGGGTAGTTATTTAAGCATCACAGTTCTTGTTTTTAAGCAGTCACTTTTTAAAGAAATATTTTTTTTTCGGGGCTGAAGCATTTAATTGTCAATTGTGGAGGTGGAAGATAATTTTTACCTGCAATGCGTCCGCTAATTTAGGGCGATTATTTCACATTTGTGAACAGATGGAAAGTAAAGAAGAAGTAGCATGAAACAACACCCAACAATAACATTTATAAGAATGCAGGTGTGCACGTTCTTGAACAAGTCCTTATTGGCGTGGAGTAGATGTTGTTCTTTTTAAAGCTGTAGAAGTTTTTTTTTTGTAGCTAACACGGCCTCGCTTATGTCTTAGTTTATAACTTGTGCGTTACTGTGCCTTTGTGTAGTTTGTATATTTGTGCAGCTCTGATCTTCAGCCCTTTTGTTTTATAAAAAAAAAACAAAGTCATTCTAGCAGCAAGGCTATGAAGCACGTAAGAATTCCTATCATTAATTGGTGTGGGTAAACTGTCAGCTGTACCTATAGTAATTTACCTTAGGTGATGAATGCAGTGTGTACTGTGAGAACTGAACAGAGAGATAGGAAACAGGAAAGGGTCAGGCACATGGTGAATTGTCTTTGCTAATGAACACACATTTAGTCATCACATGGCAGGTGTTTATCTGAAAACCCACAGGTCCAGGTTCATTTGCTTACTGTTTCTTCTTAATTTTACAAAACAATGCACTGGAAAGAAGTAGTGACACCATGAGTACTACTATAAATTAAAAAAAAAAAAACACTGGAGGGATGAATTTTCCTACATGTTTAAACACGTAAAATATGTTTATATGAGTATGTCACTTCTTTTTTTTTTCACCTGAAGAAACATGTTCATAGAACCAAATATTTTTTATTCAACATGTATGCTTGAATGCGTGAGTATGGAGTTCTGTTAGACTCACTGCTATATATTCTCTGAGTTTTGTGGTCATTTAAATGCCACAGTATATGTGAATGCTATTTTTTTATGTGTTCTTTCATATCTGTTTGAACCCTTATCTGTATACAGTACATACAATATATATAAAGAGCTCTATTGGGAATCTCTATTTTAGAAAGCAACTAATTTTATATTAATACAGAATTTTAGATGAAAATATAAACAAAAATAATACCCTTTCAATTAACTTCTTCAGCATTTTTGTTATTTTCTTAGTCTAATGTTAACTGCATTTCTGTTTTATCCTGGGTGGTTTAACATTATATATTTGGTTTATTGGAAACCAAGATGTGTTTACAACAACAGAGAGACAAGGTGTAGGAAAAAGAAATGATTAATACAACTGGAGAATTCATAAGAGAGTAATTAAATTTGCAGCTGGTAATGTTTTATGAATGCAAAATGGGAGAATTTATCCTTTTTATGGATGTGCATTTATTGTATTACTGGCTGCTAACTAAAATCTAACATGGCTTGGTATTTTAAGATCCATTTTGTGAAGGACCAGCTTGTTAGATTGTTTTTTGCGCTTTAAAAACTTGTTTTTTGTTTCAAAAGAGTGTATGGTGCTAGATTATTCTGAGAAGGCCTTTATGAACTGACACAACAAAGAAATGTTCACATGTACATGATTTCTTAATCAGTTAAAATAGCAGAGAATTGTTATTTTAATTATAACATTAGTTTCTATGGCTTGGGTGTTGTCAGTTACAGTCCACTTTCTAAGCAATTCTTACATTAGAAACTAGTTCATAAGTGTAAAAATATTTTTTTGATATATTAAATCAAAAATTTTCTTCGGCACCATGCACGGAAATGCATCAAACAAGACACTACAGATTACATTGTTTAATTTCCTTGCAATTTTACAAGAGACATGGGTTTATTTGGCTCAGAATGAATGACAAGAGATAACCAGCAATCCCAGGTACCATGCTGAAATTCCTCTTAAATGATATGCTTGGGTAAAGGTTCATTTGTACTGTAATTTTTCTCTTGCAATCTAAACATACTTTTATACTGAGTGTGCACTGAAACATGTGATACATTTCTTAGAGGATGTCACTGTCAAGCACAGAGATTTGTAGAGAAGCTGTTCCCAGTAACAGTCGAAAAGAAAAAAGATAATACAGAAGCCCATTAGAAAGTTCGTGGAGTTTGGTCTTGATGGATATGTTTACAGCTTATTTTCTTCAGGCAATTAAACTGGGTGTTCATCACAGGACAGGAACCAATAAACAAATTCTGTACATGTGGCCACTTGCTGGGTCATACTTTCATTTTAAAAATGTTTTCCTGCTGTGAGCATTTAGTGGAGCTTAAAGCAACACCCACTATTTGCTTGGCAGCCAAACCCGCTTTGTGATTTCTGACAGTGTTAAATAATATTTGCCAAGATGTATGAATTATAAGGCTAATGGGCTTAAGAGGCTTGTCTTAACATTGTCTCTTTTTTTTTTTCTAGAAAACTAAAGCAGGCTTAAACTAATATCTAAATGTGAGGTCAAGATAGGAACTCAAGATCTATTTTGCAAGTATTTAACAGTCTCAAAAAATGGACTTTAATGGGTAGCCAAGTTTAGAATACCGTAGTTTTAGTTTTATTGTATACTCTACTTGTATGTGTAATGCTCGTACATAATCCAGATTATACTTTAAAGATGGAATATTTGACACTGAGCTGAAGATCATAATGGGGTTTGTTCTGAATCATTTTTTTTTATTTATAGTTTTCACACGTGCTGAACAATGCAAAAAAATTGAAATGTTGGAACTGGAATATGCATTGCAGTTTTTCAGCAGCTATACCTTATTACCATTGTACTGTATGTCAACTTTCTCTGAGCTGTTGTTTGAAAGACATGCTGTATTAAAGAAAGCTCAGGACTGAGTGGGGTACTGTAGCTGCACTGCACTCAGTGCTGTCCCTTTGTGAATACACAATAGATTCATTTGATATTTGTGCTTCATAGGAGTCAAGCATCATATTTGCTATAGAAAACGGCGATTTTAATAGGATTTAATGTAGCAGGGAGACAGGGTAAAGAAGCTTAATATTAGAAAAAGCATTGTAACAAAGTGCTTTGTAATTAGGAATACGTTTCCCCAGCCTGAGCCCAGGTTTCTCTCACCACGCTCCCAGGGAGAAAAAATAACACAGTGGTGGGTCTAATAGCATGTGAACAATGACTTTAGCAGTTTTCATTTACTCACTGTCCCTGCACAAATAAAAGCTGTGACAAAAGCTCTCCAGCCTGAATTCTGAGTGATTCGTATTCTCCACTGTAATGCGAGTGGATTGTACTGATTTGTTCTTTCCGACTTTTGATTACAAACCCCCCCCCCCGAAAGAAACATAGCTTTGGTCAGAGGGCTGTTCAAATCTAGAGCAATTCGCCTACTAGAGTCTACTTTTAACCAACTGTAGATGCCACTGTTAAGGGTATGGACATTTGGTGTTTAAACAGAGATCTATAGTTTTTATTCTAAACCATTTTTATAATACCATTTCTGTACTTTAATGGGTACCAGGAAGGATTTCATGAAAGTCCAGATTACTTTATGAAGCTGGGCATATTGATCATTGACTGTATTTTCATGGAAAGTGGTTATCGGAAATGAGAGTTTTGGCATGCTTACTGTAGGTAAGTACATGTTGAGCTAGATTGGACAAAACACACTGAATTGGTACTCTTCAAGCTTGTATTGTGACCTAGAGGCACGTGAAGTGTTAGGGAACTACATTGTTCCAGTGGAATGATGCACTGATGCCCTGTGTTTCATACATTTTGTTTGGCTTGTTGGTCCAGAACACTTATATTCAATTCAATTCAATAAAATTCATCTTTATTTGTCATTATACTTACACAGGTGCATAGTGTAGTGAAAAGTGTTTCTCATTAGTCTCTCAGGTGCAATATATAAATATAAGAGCTGACAAGACAATAGACAGAAATACAATAACAATAACAGTATAAACAACAGTATGGTGCCAGTGCACAATTGTCAGAAATTGTGCAAATGCACAAACAGAGAAAAGCATACAAACAGGACAAAAACAGTGCAAAAGTAATTCAGCAAACAGTGCAAAAATAATATGGTGATTAATAAATAGTACAACTAGTACAGTTTTAGGTACAATTTCGGCTTACACTCAGTTGTCGTGTATGTAGTGGTGTTGGAGTACAGTCATTGTGGGTACAGGAAGAAGTGAGGAGAGATCATAGTATGATGGGAGGGAGTGGGGGCGTCACCAGCTTGACGGCTCTGGGGAAGAAGCTATTTTGGAGTCTTGTTGTGTGCGACTGGAGCGTCCGGAACCTTCTACCAGATGGTAGGGGGGCAAACAAGTTATGACTAGGGTGAGTGGGATCAGACATAATTTTGGTGGCTTTTTTCAGACTTCTGGTGTTATAGATTTTATGGATGGATGGTAAGGCACTGCCGATGATGTGTTGGGCAGTTTTGACCACGCTCTGCAGGGCCTTACGGCCGGATGCGGTGCAGTTGCCGTACCAGACTGTGATGCAGCTGGTCAGTATGCTCTCCATCGTACATTTGTAGAAGTTGGTGAGGATCCATGGATGCAGGTGTATTTTCTTCAGCCTC